GTCCAGGACGGACCGAAACATCGTCGTCCTTTCTAATGTGTGGTCTGGTCAACAATATAAGTCTAAAGCTATTAACAAATAGAGAGGTATTTAGCGTATTGAAATCTTATCGTATTATATCGTCTTATCTATCTGTCAATATTGTGTGGGCTAGACAAGCAGTGTGGTCAAGGAAGGGAAACAGTTTGTGTGGCTTTGCCTGTGTGTGTGGAGATTGGAGCTTTGTCTCTAGTGTTGGTGGAGGGCCGGGTGGCGGTGGGTTGTGTTGTGTTGGTAGAAAGGAGGCGGTTAATAAACAGGGTGTGGTAGTGATTCTCACCAAACAGTGACTACGGGGAAGTGAGGTCACGCTTGTGCCCTGCCTACTGGTCTTGTACTTATTGGGTCGTCCGAATTCGTTGTCGTATCTGATTTTGAAGCTGTGGATGGAGGGGCGTTTTCGGCTTCTTTCAGCGCAGTCAGCGTGTTGACCGCCCTTCAACGTACGAGTATTTTTGTATATCTTCGACTCATTTGGTCGTATGGTTGGATTATGGTATGGTGGTGGAAGGTATTGAGTGGATGGTGGTGCGGGGTTGGTACACTGGGTGGGCTTGCCTCTCTTGTGACGTCAGGGCTAGTGTGTGACGTCAACTCATGGCGGCTGTGGTTTTCCTTTCACTCTGAGCCCTCTCTTGTGTCTGCCTCACTCTTTCCCCGACACTCTTCATCTGAGAGACAGCCAGATACAGATAGACATAGATTGATACAGATCAACGGACTGACATTGACATGTGATGTGGTGGAGGCAGACTCCATACACAGTTTCAAATGTAGATATGATAGAGCCCAGTAGGCTCAGGAATCTGTATATCAGTTGATTGACAGTTGAGAGTCGGGACCAAAGAGCCTCTACCGCCGCAAGCACAACTAGGTGAGTACACAAACCAATAGACAGATACAGATGCGCACACACAAATGCAGACAGACAGACAGGCATACAATCATAGATACTTTGGTCCCGCCTTACGGTTGAGAGGCGGGACCAAAGAGCCAGAGCTCAACCCCCACAAACATAAATAGGTGAGTATAGATACATGCAGCTACTACGGTCTGCTTCCAGGGGATGTGCGCGTTAGAGAGAAATATATGTAGTAGACATAATAGAGGAAAAATAAATTGGTTAGAAATGCGGAGTCCAAGAGCTAAATAGCGCGATTATGCAGACAAATAGTAAATACATAAAGACAGATACAGAGATACAGACAAACGGACATTCACTCACTGGATTAGAGGAGGAATAGGGTAGACATGATTACGACATAAAAGATTCAAAGGGGAATTCGCGGAGTTTACAAAAGAACGAGTGTACAAGACTTTGAACGTATGTAACTAGATACTCAACAGAGCCGAGTCCGAGATGTTAGAAAGACGTTTTTCAGCGTTATATTTGTAAATACTTGGAATTGATTAAACGAAAAGTTAGTTGAAGCCTACTCGATACACAATCGTTAGAAAGATTGTGTACCGACTTGATCAAGAACTTGACCATTATCAAGAACGACTGAGATGGTCCAAGACGGAGTGAAAGGTCGTCGTTTCTTCGTTTACTGATGTGTGGTTGGGTCATCATATCTTGAGCCACGTTATTGTGACTCAGCGTCTGAATCCGTACAACAGTCATTGCATTAAAGTTTCAATTGTTCTCATAATGGGGCTGTTAGCTAATGCTGGAAACGTCGTTGGCGATGCTCAAGGTTGATGGAATATTTCATGTACCTTAAGTCATAATAATTACTACAAGTTTAATAAGAACATAAGAATAAAGGTAACTGCAGAAGGCCCATTGGCCCATACGAGGCAGCTCCTATTATACAAAGATTAATCAGGTGTAATTGGCCTGTTATGTTGAACAGTGTCTTCTGTGTTGGCATCGTTATGTTCTGGTCTTGTCCTTACTAATGTAATGTTCGTTGAATTTGTGGCTTGAGTATGAAATGTATTTTTGCCTTAACAGGAAATTGTGCAATAAGTAACAAATGTGATATTGGTGATGGAAAAAGCTAGATAACGTCATGGACCGGTGATGCTATGGTGGCATATGACTAGTAAACAAGGTTGTTAATGATGAAGAGAAGAGTAGTGTAGCGTGAGGTTAGATGGTGAGGTGTGTGGTGGTTCACGTTGGTGACCCGTGTGGCATGAATCCCTTCCTGCAGGAGTGGGTAGTGCTCAGACCTGCCTTCTACAGCCAGCCGCCGCCCCCTGCCCCACCTCCAGCACCACCTCCTCCAGCACCACCAGCACCCCACCTCACCCCGGACACCGCCAGAGCCTGGTTCCTGGGCCCTGCCCTGGTGGCTTTTGGGGCAAGGTACTGCTGCTCCTCTAGCACACTTAATGCTCTTAAGATAAACGAGATTATGTTTGCATTGAATTTATTACTTAATAAGATTATGTAATTTGTGAAGGGCAGAACTTTAGCTTGTACTGGTGTTGTATGTATTAAATATTTCTTACCAGTTTGTTCATAATAATTTGTTAATATTGCTTCAAAGGGGATTATAATGGTGTCATACAAGTGATGATTTTTTTTCCAGTGAAACTGGGTGTGCACAAAAAATTATATTAACATGATGTAAGAGCAATGAGGAGGATTCAAACCTGTACAGTGGGTACTCCACTTTTTTCTGTGTATGCAAATTGTGCATGTGAGTACAGACCTCTTGAATTAAATACCAGAGGCCAGTGCTCGCACAGATGGTTGCACAACCAGTGTCGCTGGAAAAATAAAAGCTGCCAATTACATTAACGAAAATCTTGTCATTGTCCCAATGATTAATTTAATATTGCCCTCAAGAGTCTCGGATGATAGCATTTTTGGCATATCTGTAAGATAACTTAACATTGCCATAAAGCTAGACAGGAAGAAGCTGACATTCTCCACAAAACATGTGAAAGTCATTGCATCTAAATGTACGCTGAAAGTTGCTATTTTGCATATTGATCTCGCAGCGTGGCTTTACTAAAGGCTGGTTGTGTCTTAACAAATATACTTTCATTCTTTTCCAGCATATTTAAACCAGGTGATAGTTGGAAAGATTACAGCATTATATACTTAGACTTTAGTAAAACCCTGGCATACTGTATGCCATGAATGACTTAATAGGAAAGTAGAGGCACATTGTATTGTAGTTTATATCTTAAATTGGATTAGGGCATGGTTATTTTAAAGGGAATAAAGGGTCACCATAAATAAGGTCAGAAGAGATCTGTTAAGTACTCCAGGGACCTCATGGGACCTGGGGTATCTGCTCACTAGGGACCTCTGCTGCTTACCATATATAGTACTGTATATACAGTAAATGACTTGGGTCACAGGATTGAACGGCAATACTGCATTTTCAATTATGCCAATGACACTGAGGTCAGACAGTAAATTCAGACATACTCAAAATTTGTTCTGGAGGATTTAGATGATACACTGGTAAAATGAATGAAAGGTTGTCAGATACAAATTAATGCTGACAATTGTAGGATTCTTAGGTTTCTGAATAAAATACTAGCTATCGTCTGAACAACCAAAAAATCAATGGACAGTACAGTATAAATGTTAGAAATATGGTAATTAAGGTACTTTAATGGGATTCATATCAAGAAGAATTAACAATTAATTATGCAGTTTCAATTTAGTAATCATACAGTATTATGGACTTGAATTCCCTTCAACCTATCTATAGAAATATGACAGTTAACCCTTACACTGTTCAATTTGACTTGTGCTATTTACTCATTAAATTTAACTATTTTTAGACATGCACGCCTTGATGTACCTTGAGCATACCTGTAGAGGGTCTCTAGAGTTCTACTCCCCGAGCCTGGCCTGACGCAAGGCTCGACTTTTAAATAGCAGCACAGTTTAGGGATTTAATGTCAAGCATTTTGATCCTACTTCGGGAAGAGGGATTAAGACAGCTTAATTTATATTTTTGTAAAGGCAATCTTTACCTTTCACACCTTTCAATGATTCCAAGGATCAAAGAGTCCACAGCCTGGTCTGAGACCAGACTGCCTGGATGCTGGTGTGGTCAACCAGGCTGTTCTATGCAGTTGCTTGCAGCCTGATATATGATTTATGTACTGTACAATGTTATTAAATGTGATTGTGTAAGTTTTGTAAAAAAAAATTATTTGTTTAAAGTTTGCAGACACTAGACATAATCACCATCGGCAAATTCAGAGCAAGACATTGAATAGTTAAAGTGAATAAGCGCTTCGGGTTTAACATTACCAGTGCTCATTCTAGTGTCATTATTATTCCACAAATTTATAATGAACTATTGATAACAAAAAATTTGTTTCATAATTTAGAAATATTTAATTCCAAGATGCATTTAATTTTGTTAACATAATTTGGATGGTAGCAGAATTTAAAATGCATAATTCAGAAAGAATTGATCTTCATATAACTTCATTGCAAATACATTATCCTTAACATTATCTAGATGTAGCTCATTGTGTAAATTCCAAGGCGTGCATAGATAATATCAAGAAATCTGTTCAGTAATCAAATAGCTGAATTTTTCTGCACTACTAAAGGGAAATCAATTTTATGGTGTGGCAATATCTTTAACCCCCTTACACTGCTTCAAGTGCTACCTGCCATTTCCTGCTGTGCACAAATTGCCATATGTGACTCATCATTATGGGTTTTCAATACCTATTTTTTTTTGTGCACCTGGATGTAGAACATTCAAGTAGTTTTCAAGTAGCTTAGCTAAATAAAGATTAAACGAACAAAATGTCTTCCCTTTCCTATTTAAGAATTCCACTTCAGCATGCTAAATACTTCAAATGATTGCATGTAATCACATAATAAATGCCCTAAGCTGCTTGATGATACAGGTTGATTGCCACATCTGGAGGAAGTAACTCTGATGAAGGTAGATACATGTACTGTATGTGTGTTTCTGCTGTACCCTATTGACACAAATAGATTAATTCTGAGAATTATTTTGTAGGTACGGTGGTAAGCGGTGTGGGAGCGGTGGTGGAGGGGGCCCAGCAGCAGCAGCGGCAGCAGCAGCAGCGGCAGCAGCAGCAGCGGGAGGAGCAGCAGTAGGAGTAAGGCGCTCGCCCCGCTACGCCACCCAACAGTCTTCAGCATCAGTTGCAGCAGCAGGCAGACCAAGGAGGCACCACACTAGACCTCTCCACGCTCACCACCATAACACTAAACATAAGGTAACTAACTGTTTTCACTTCACCCCAACATGGTACAGTACACTGTGCACCCTTGAATGTCTAGACCTCTATATAATGTGTCCTCTTTAAGAGTTTTGGGGCTTTGGATAGTTTTCCGATTTCATGTTCGCTAGTTGTGTGATTGTTTTGACTAATTAACCAACCTGTTATTGTTAAAATAGTGTTTACTTGACAGCCCTTCCCAATTTTTGTGTGGGGGGGGGGGCATAAAACATTAATAAACGTTTTCACAGTCTGGAACTCTTGGGGGGACTGTTCTGAACTGTTGAAGCTCGGTGACAAAAGTTTTATAATTTTTAAGCTTCTTTGTTACTTTTGGGGTTATAATTATGAACGTTGTGTCGGTGTTTATAAATGGTTACCCTGCAGCAGGGGCTCTTAACAGGGGGTATCCATACCCCCCCCCCCTTGAGATTTTGAAAACCAAATAAATGGGATTATGGCACTTGATCTCTGAACAATATATAACAAAACAAATTTGTTTAATTAGAATTAACTATCACCGTCCGTAACTGTACCTTAATTCCGTTTTGATTGCACAAATATTATAAATCTCACCAGTTGTGACTAACTTTTGTATTTGTGATTTGTTGTTTTTCTGTAAATATGATAAGATCCTTGATTTTCTTTAAACTGTTCTGTTCTTAACTGTCCATATGTTAAGTAAAACCAAGCTACTGTCATCCTGATTTATATGAACAGACTTTTACAGAGAAATTACCATTTTTTTTATCGATTATTAATTTGTATAGTTGTAAAAAGAAGAAAATCATTACTGTACGGTACTGTACTTGCATACTTGTTTGTCACGTAATTTGCAAAGTGGCAAAAAATGTGTGGGGCAGAGCAATTATTTTGGTTATAAGGTTGGTTATCAAAGGTGATCTCTGGTTGGTTAGCTTATGAGCTCTGCCCGTGTGTCATCATGAATCATTGAGTAATTTATGCAAATTCATGGATTGGATAATGCATTACACATGATGATAAAATATTTCATCAAACTGCTAAACTGTTAAATGTTAGGATGGACTTCTGTTAATTTATCATCCAAGTATGAAATATCGTTGATATTTCATACTTGAAATAAAGTATTCACAATAAAGCACATTGATATTCTCATTGTTCGTGAAAATTAATGAAGAGTATTTGTGTACTTGCTTCTAGCACCAAGGTACTCCTGTAAAATTACCGGGTATTTTTTTCTTTAATCGGTGACATTCTCAATTCCCTCTTTCACAATTATAATAGGTAGCAAATTTCTCGCCTTGCCTCCTTGTGCTGGATCAGTTGCCTTGCCTTGAAAGGGGATGCGAGTACAGAATATAGGCATGACATCTCTTGTTTTGAAGGTTTTATCTTAATCCACCTCTTATTTCTTGCGTTGATGTTAATTTGATTTGTTGTGATCTCAAAGCATTAGGTCCCCTCAATTTTACTATGAAGGCTCCTGTTTACATTATAGACCAGTTGCATTAATGCTCCACATAATAATAGTTTTTACGAGAGTGATCAGGAGTCGGATCTCCAGTTTCTTGAAAACCAGTACCCTTCATAACCTAGACCAACATGTACAGTACTGTATTTACAATGTGAAGATCAAGCCTTTCACGGTTACTCAACCACTATGACAAAATCACTGATGCATTAGAATAATAATAGAATGTAGATGTGTTATACATGGACTTTGTAAAGGGATTTTATAAATGTGACCCATGGAGTGATAGCCCATGAAATAAGGTCAATAGAGTACAGTAACTGGTAAAGTAGGATGATGGATACAGTATTCAATTTTCTATCGAACAGAACAGAATAACAGTCAGTTAAATAAAATAGTCCAAGCACAGTGAGAAGCTCTGTACCTCAGAGCACAGTCCTGCTCATTGCTCACTTTTCCTTTCAAAGCAGGAGAAATTGCTAAAGTAGAGGGAATGCAGAGAACATATACACCATGCATAGACACAATAAAGCACCTAAATTATTTGAATTGTCAGAGCTCTTAAAATCTTCTCTCTAGAAAGAAGATGCGAGAGGTATCTAAAGATAACACACTCAGAAAAAGAGATTCAAAAGATGTACTGTAATTAATTTGATTGCTAAAGGCACAAATAATATATAAGAATGTAGTTTTTAATACAGTAGTTGAAGATTAAGTGTAGGAAAATTACTGTAAATGATTTAAAGTCTTCGAGTGTCTGGGTAGGTGAGAGTAGTAAGGTTTTGTGCTGGTCATTGTGCCAATAATTGAAAATATTCTTATATCAATGTAATTAGTACTGGGTCTTTCTCTTGTATTTTTTCTCTCAATGCCCATATTATTATTATGCACACTAATGAAAATTTCCTTGTAGAATTTGGGGACCTTTTAACAACTTGTTTAATAAGTGACATTCAGTATCATAGGCTATTTATTCTTCTCTAGCTAATAAAAAATATTTTATTCCAGGGAGCGAAAGCCAGCAGTGGGCCTGGCCAGGGTGGCACCAGCACCAACAACGCAGCCTCACAGAAACCCGACAACAGTGGCGGGGGAGGAGTAGATACCAATCAGCAGCAAGACAACACATCAAATAACGCTGCCACTAATAACGCCACTGTCCGTCACAACCACCACGACGCACCTCCACCATATTCAACACGGTCATCTGCTGCCGCCGCTGCTGCTGCTGCTCAAAACCACCACCATAATCATCATCATAACCACCATCACCACCACCCTAATCAGCGTCATAGCTCACGAGGGCCTCGCCGAAACCGGATGAGTATGGGGCAAAAAGTCACAGGTAAGTAATGTTTTTGTTTATTCAGGAACTAAACAAGTACCTTATATGGAACCAAAATGATATTAGAATAAATGCAAAAGATTTTAAAGTCAATAGGCCTTTTTCATATGCTAATATTTGTTGCCATCATCATGATGTTGCTTACCAATTTCATGAGGTAGGGTGGCATCAGCTTGGAAGAAATGTTAGCGATATACTGTATGGGAAAAGATCACAGATAATAAAAGAGACAACTCTTCTATTTTCCATATCTTACTACAGCAACTTAGTACATCAAATCAGCACCTGACACAATTGAGAAAAACACACCACTGCACCCCAATTGTTTCATACAACTAGATATACAGTTCTTCCTGCAAGTTGTCATTTTAAAAATCACTTGTTTATTGCCTCATAATGTACAGATTCCGTGTAGCTTTATTTCACACCACTTCTCAGGTGCTATTAACATATTGTCTTTCCTCACACAAATTATCCATCTTCTATTATTATCTATTATATAATAGATAAGACTTATCTGGCAACGTGCTTCTTTAAGCTTGAATCGACAAACACTGCATATATGAAGACATTTCGTTTTTTTTCTGCTAAATTTCTATTCACTACCATATTCAAGGGGCCTGACAGGTGAGTGGACTTGTCAGATTCGTAGTCCAGAGGTTCTGGGTTCAATCCCTGGTGAAGGCAGAAACAAATGGGCAGAGTTTTTCACCCAGAGTTCACCTAGCTCAGAGTTCAATAGGTACCTGGGAGTTACAGCTGCTGTGGGCTGCTTCCTGGGGATGTGTAACAAAAAAGAGACCTGGTCTTGGACTGGGCCGTGGGGACTCTAAGCCCCGAAATCATCTCAAGATAACCTCAAGATAAGATAACCATTATTTCTTGTGTGCAGATTTAGGAAGTAAATAAAGTTAATGGTTAAATTTTGTAGCCCAAGACCAATTTTCTGCCATAAATTCAATAAAAAGGTCATTATAAATTAAGATAATCATTATAGGAAAGAAGTGCTTCCCTATTTGCTGCTGACATTTTAACTGATTTATAAGGACGGTTGTCTTGTAAATTTTTGAGGTTACAAAGAATTTCTAAAAATCTATTGCTCACAAAGATGCTATTAAACATTTTATCTATTGAGCCATAACATATATAATATATAAAGTAAGGTATGGGTCAGTACATATTTCACAATTTACTTGTAAAATTTACTTTGAAATAAAGGTTATTTCCTAATTTTAGAACAAAGTTAGTAAATGCGAGATGTTATAAAATCAGTTCTAGGTTGGAGTTCTATATATGCAGACCATCATAATATCCATGGTCTGGGGCTTGCCATTCTAAACCAGTAATTATATATATTTTTGGCAGCATCACAGTTGATAACTTTAGTAGGGCACTTAACCAGTTTCTTAATGTCCCGAGTTAGTAAATTGTTTACCTGGAACCTGCAACTGTCTGTTTAGCCATGTGAAATCAAACACAAATTTGCATCTACTATATTTGAACATGTCAAATGATTAACAAATTTAAGCATTTAATCAGACCTTATCTGAAGTCGTACAATGTTTTTTTTGATATAGCTCAGCAGCAGTTCTTCTAAAATTGACTATAATGCTTTCGACTGCCCTTTAAATCCGCTTGCATAGAGGAGTATTTTATCTAAAAATACATACTGTACAAACATTCTCATTACCCTTTTCTTATTCTTAGGGGGAATATGCATCATCTGGTAGACCTAAAATGAGAGCAATACTGAAAAATTTCTACAAAAAAAATTAGCAATTGTCCTTTTATTATATTATTCACTTAGTATGAGGGATAAACAGACATTACTTCACTCCATCAGTCTTACAGCAGCAACCTTTCACTTTACCACATCACCCCTTCAGTCTTCCAATGCATCGACTTTTGCATACAAAAGCGTTATATGACAGAGTGCTGGGAGGACGGGACACCATGAGCGTAGCTCTCATCCTGTAACTACACTTAGGTACTGTAATTACACTTAGGTAATTACAAAAAAATTTCCATTGACATTTTCATTCTCCAAACACCACACAAGCTCTTCAAATTATCCATTTCTATTGTTTTATTTCTTAATTTTGTTTATATTCGTATGACAACATCGTGTCGGGTTGACATTAGCATTCCTTCATGCGGTGCTGAGAATGAGATTTGCAGAACCAATCGGTACAAGTTGAATCGTCCACGGACATAACCTGTTAACATTGACCAGACCACACACTAGAAGGTGAAGGGACGACGACGTTTCGGTCCGTCCTGGACCAAGACAATCGACTTGAGAATGGTCCAGGACGGACTGAAACGTCGTCGTCCCTTCACCTTCTAGTGTGTGGTCTGGTCAACATTCTTCAGCCACGTTATTGTTACTTATCACCTGCATAACTTGTTAACTGGTGCAGATTGACAGAAAGATTCCAGATCCTAGCTTAAGATGAAAGACATACCCATGCACCCAAAGCATCCATGCAACAAAGTATTGGCAATATTGAATGTAATGGTCACTTTAATGTTTTAGTGTTGAATATAATATATTTTATACTAATTGCACATTATATATACGTTTTAGTAAAATTATCCTTTGATTTTCAATACTTCCTAATTTGTTTTATTTGATAATTTTTAGTGTAAACTCAACAGAGTAGATAATTAGTGTTTTAAAAAGTTGCTAATTCATAATACTAATAGCTTGTATGCCATCAATTAATTAATAAATTATAAACCGGGGAGATATTGTGATATTAATTAAGAAATAATATTATAAGAGAAAAGAGATAATTAAGAGGATGATATTAAGAGAAAATCATACTATGCATAGTTGCTACTGACCATTTATAAAATTTGATCATAATTACTTCATACAATATATGAATGTACTCAAGTTTCCTCTGATACTGCAATTACAGGTACTTAGTGTTGAAAGTTTTCCATGTTATTAATTATATAGTCTGATTTATTCATCTGTAATTCATATACTGTACAGTACCAGAATCTCTTATTCGCCCGGTACATGAATACGGGAATTTTCAAGTGCAAATAAAAGCATAGCCTGATGTGATTTTGAATTGTTTATAATATTGTTGATTATGGTTCCATATAATGTTGGTTTTGTTCCTGGCTATTGTGTTCTTAGACTACTATATTCTCATTTCCTTAGTGCTGGGCGTGTTAAGCATCATTTAGTGAAATGAAAGAACATTCAGCATACAGCAAGAAGCTTTGACAGTATTCACTTTGAAGCCATGCTTAAGACTTAAGCATGGCTTCAGACACTAATTTCTATGCTTAAGACACTAGTTTTGATTATGAAGCTACAGGTTTCAAAGAGAATACTACGGTGAAGGCATTTGTTTCAAAACTGTGAATGATGGTAAAGGTACTAAACTTATGGCTACAAGTTATGCTGAAGAGAACAGGTAAAAGTAATTATCTGGAGAAAGTGTTAAGCTAGGATGAGTATATAACACTTGGAAGGGATCTGAGGAGGAGGAGGAAGAGCTGTGATAGGACAGAGGGAAGGAATGGTGCACATTCACTCAGACCTTTGGGTAAAGAGAACAATTCAAACCAGTTTTTATTTCTTCTCAGGTTGTTGCTGTAGCAACAACCTTTGCAACAGATGTGTATAATGCCAATAGATGGAATGAATATTTTAAGATATTTAACATTTACATTTTGGGGGGGGGGGATGATCAGTGAGGGTGGAAAAAGAGCAAAGGAAGGTAGGTATGGGTGGAACCATCTTTTACCGACAGGTTCTCTTGGTTGTTGCTCTTCATATGACAGGTTGAAATGATAATTTTGTTCAATAAAATCAGCCCATAGAGCATGGAAAATATTAAGTATGAATGGTAGCACTTTTAATATGGCTCCAATCATGTTTTTAATTATTTTTGTTTGGTATTTTTTTTTGTTAGGCATTTTGGATTTTTTTGTCGCATTTTTGTTTGGGCGTCTTATCCTCCACTCCACAAATGTTATAAAATGGCAAAATACACCAATTAATATCTTGGTAGATACTCCACTTTTGGTATAATTGTAATCAATATGAATGCTGCCCTTGTATCACACCGGAAAAGATGTACAGTACTTTAAGATTTCTATGTTACGTGCGGTGGGCATCAACACATTCTTGGACTGCTATCTGGGATATCAACAATGTTAATGACTGAATTATTAGATCTGGGCTAATCTGGACTAATACGACCACCACACACAGTTGTGGACAATATATTTAGGTTTGTGTAACAGCAGGCAGTTTGTCTTCAACCTCCTGTTTTCAGAAGGCCGGATATATCAGGTGTGTGGGACACAATACCCAATGTCTGCTCCACAAGACCATCACACATTCCTGCTTGATAGGGTTCTGGGAGTTCTACTACTCCCCAAGCCTGACCTGACTCTTGATTCTCTGCTCAACAGTCGCACCCACTCATCTTTCTCATATGTTCCAATAACATCCATTCTTCAGATATTGCAAAAAACTGTTTTTGCATTATCCTTATCCTAGTTCATAGGACTTTCACGGTTTTAAATTTAACTGATAATTTTATAATTTCAAGTGTGGTTGTTAAAGTTTGTTCACGAATATAGGGTAATTTCTTAAGCACTTCTCCTTTTTCTCCCCCTAATGAAAATATGCCTTTTGCCCCATGCATAGATAAGCTAGGTGACCATGTGCTCTTCAGACCAGCTTTCAATATACAATACATGCATCTTGGCTGAGTGATGCATGAAAGTACAAAATCTGACTGGTGTGTGTTTTAACACTGGTAAACTTTCCATCCCTTAGTGTAAGGGTGCAAATTGAAAGAGGAAGAGATAACAAAGAGGGATATGGTGAGGGAAATGGTGAGTTTAAGAAGGGGTGGGGTGAGGCTGTATAGATTAGATTTTTGCTGGGAGAATGGTTGTTGAAAAGTTTCTAGCAAAACTGAAAACGTTGTATGTTGGCGTCGCACATTTAGAAGTCATGTGAATTG